ATCATTTCTATATAAATATATTTTATTTAAAATTTAAAAATAAAACGTAAATCTTTTTTAAATTAAATGTATTAATCCTGTTATATGTAAATATTATTGATCTATTAACAATAAAATTTCAAGATCCAATGATTATTATAATAAATCAATAAAGATTTTGTTATGCTGAAAATTAGTTCTTTGTTGCAAAATGCTAGCATATTTTTCTTAAGGGAAAAATTTAATATGCTTTATGTTATGCCTTAAATTCAATAAATAATTTTACTTTGTTCAAGTTGATAAATTTTATGGATATAAAAACATTGTCGTCCGCGCGCGGACGATAATCCAATTATACGCTTTCATTTTGTTTTATATGATGGAGGAGATCAAAGAAAGCCAAACAATGTAATATTATATCTGTATTATGCTTTGAGCATATAACATCATTCTTCTTAAAACAGAACGCGAAATCCACTCGCACAGAAGGCGTAATGCACTTAATTTATAAAAATGGAGTAAGTGCTGGAAAATTCCGCAACATTAATAGTGCATAATTTCACAAGGTATTAGAGACATGCTTTGCGCCAGATGCTACTTCTAATATCACAGCACCGTGCGGAGAAAAATTAATAAAACGGAATTTTTAACGAAGAAAAATATCAGTAGATGAAAACTTTTAATTACTTCTAATAAGAAAAATCTCTACTGTGTCCAGTTCTCGTCCTCTGTTTAGATACTGCGGTAAGTTTAATCGATATGCGCTGCGGAAATAGAGGGAGGGAGAAGAGCACGAGTGCTTATACTATATACATATTTCGGATTTCACGAGGGAATTTATACGACAGTTTACATAATTATATAAACTATTAATGCGGTAGAGAGGATTCAATAAAGTGTGTCAATTTAATTATGTCAATATAGTTACGCATATCGATATCATCATGACAATGTAAGTGCAATAAACATATTTTGACAAATCAAGATTAGCCCGATATAGCAAGGCCGGATCAAGAAAAATCATCTATCCGATCTATCACCAATAATCCCCGCGATCATGGGTAATATAAATTCCACAGAAACGCCGTTTAATTAATGGTCAATACACCGTGGATCGTGGCGGGATTACGCCGCTGGCGTTTGATGTTATAAAGTCGACGCAGAGAGATCGGCGAGAAACAGCGCGACGTCGGTATTAGTACGATGGGTATATGTGCGGGTAAAAAAAAATTTAATTGAATATGCCGGCGAACCATGAAATGTGGACTGACACAGTGGATTGCGGATATAATTCTGTCCGTTTAATTAAAAAAGATTCACATTTAATTTCGAACTAATCAACTGTAGCACTCCTTTAGACCCGATTGAGCGGAAAAGAACGACGCGTAAAAGCGAAAGAGAGAAAGAGAGAGAGAGAGAGAGATTTGCGGTTAATCAATATCGAAAATCAATTATTTTTGATATCAACAGAACGCGAAATCCACTCGCACAGAAGGCGTAATGCACTTAATTTATAAAAATGGAGTAAGTGCTGGAAAATTCCGCAACATTAATAGTGCATAATTTCACAAGGTATTAGAGACATGCTTTGCGCCAGATGCTACTTCTAATATCACAGCACCGTGCGGAGAAAAATTAATAAAACGGAATTTTTAACGAAGAAAAATATCAGTAGATGAAAACTTTTAATTACTTCTAATAAGAAAAATCTCTACTGTGTCCAGTTCTCGTCCTCTGTTTAGATACTGCGGTAAGTTTAATCGATATGCGCTGCGGAAATAGAGGGAGGGAGAAGAGCACGAGTGCTTATACTATATACATATTTCGGATTTCACGAGGGAATTTATACGACAGTTTACATAATTATATAAACTATTAATGCGGTAGAGAGGATTCAATAAAGTGTGTCAATTTAATTATGTCAATATAGTTACGCATATCGATATCATCATGACAATGTAAGTGCAATAAACATATTTTGACAAATCAAGATTATTCTATATTATTATAAATCAGCTGTTCAATTGTCATAAATTGCCAAGTTATTACTAGTTAAAATGCAATAAACAATTATATATCATTTTTAAATTTGTAACAAGATTATTAATGCACATTCTATAATTGACAAAGATAATCATTTAAAAAAAACTGCTATAAAATAACGATATAAATAAAAATAACTATCTCAAACATTAAGGATCTTCCTACGTTTCCATTAGCTTTTGACAAGATAATATAGAAACATGACGATTTGCAATGTACATGTCTTTTCAATTCTGTTACGTCTCTTTATCGCGATACTAAATATTCTGGATTCATCTCAACCCAACCCACCAATCTGTCCAATCTCTCAAAATGCTCGGGCATGCTCTCCGAGGAGGCATTGGCAGATCGGTAACAGGAGAAACCTCGGCGATTTCTCCGAGAGCGATTACTCGCTGGCGGATGGCGCCCGATCCCTTTTCGGAAATCCAGATGGTCCGTCCAGGACATAACTCAGGATTTCACGTGCGCCGCGCCGGTAACAGCGCAGCTACACGGTGGACCGTCGGCATATAGAGACGACGCACACGTGTACGCGGGCGACGCATACGAAGGAGCGGATGAAAGGGCGTGACGAGGGCAGGGGAAGCAAGAAGGGAGAGTGGTAATGTATGCAATTGGACCGACCGGCGTGCACGACGGACGGTTGTTGGTCGGTTATGGGTGGTGACGCCAGGGCACGACGGTGATTCTGTGGTCCAGCAGGGACAAAGAGGGGAGGGAGGGCGAAGGGAGACAAAGGTCGTTGCATACAATCGTAGAATCCCCGCGTGGCGCGACCGCGCCGGTATTATATGGTGTTTAGTTTGCCATGGTGTGTATTCGTGATTTTACTTCTCTCTCTCTCTCTTTCTCTCTCTATCTATCCCTTTACTCATGATCGCGTCGAATTAACTTGGTCGCGCCGCGTCAAGGGCAGTCGGAGCGACATTAATCCGCACATGTAACGTATGGGGTTGGCCGAACGAATAAACGAAAATAAAAATCGCACGCAATCGTGCATTTTGCCCGCGAGAGCGTTATTTGAGTTTCGATTGAGATTTGCTATGTATTTTTTTTTTTTTTTACTGTGGCATTGTTGGGATAATCGAAACATATTTGATGTGCGATTTAAAGCAACGCTTCAAAAAGAAGGTTGTCAATAGAAAATTTCGATGACGAGAGACGCAAACAAATTTTACATACAATCTCTGGATACTAAAATGATTTATTAGATAAAAACCCTATAAAACTTGTAAATTTGAAGACAGATCCCTAAAAAAATGTATAAATAAATCCTATGTAAGCTTAACGATTTACTGGCAAGAAATCAGCAGCTTAATTTTGAAATTGCACAGGAACTACGTGAACTCTTTTAACATTTAAAATTAAAAAATATATTGCATTGAAAACTTTATTAGATTTGATATTATCTTGCAGAATATTTATTATAAAAGTTAGCCAACACTGGTCATTTTTCGATAGTCTTTAACTTTGCAAGTTCTCTTTCTCTCTCTTCATTTTTCTCAAAATAAGTATATATAAAAAGTATATATTAAATTTAAAAAGTGTTATTAAAAACTAGACAAAGGCTGGCCCCTTTTTCGGTAAAAAAAAAGAAAGGAAATGTACCAAAATTAAAAACTTAAACTCAAAACACGTAGAGCGCGCAAAATGTTCTACAGGTTGAATGTTAAATATTAAAAGGATAATATACCAGTTTTTATTTTTATATTGATAATACTCAAAAAGCGTTGTTTTAAACGAATTCTATGTATTGTTAGATTAAACAAACTTCGCATCACTTTGATTACTGCGCGGCCTTAATTTACTCGCGCGGTTCATCCGAATGCATCCGCTCGGAATGTAAATGCATGGAGTTTCGTAAATGATCTCGGTTCCTTATATAATTACTAGTCTTTGGAAGTTCAAGCGGTTTCCTACGCTGACGTACGGTCGGATCACTTGACGAACGGTACTTCGAGGAGAGTAACAGAAGAAAAGGAACAAAACGTTTATTACAGTCATTCGGTTCGGCAATACGAATTACTTTCAGATAATCTTCTCTTTGCTTACGCGCACTGACATGAGAATCTGAATCTTGATTAATGCCAACATCAATAAACAAATTTTTCTAAAAAAGAATCTAATTTTTGAATCGCTTTTTTGTAATTACAAAAGTAAAATACAAAAAGATATTTTACAAGATACAAAAAATATATTCTAATTATAATTTTTTTTAAAGAATGGTAAAACAAACAGAATGCGTGTTTTAGAATTCAAAATGCTATTAACAAAGGTTCACTTTACACGACGTAAAGTAAAAGTTAAATTATTCTTGCACAATATTTCATATTTCCAGATTTAAATTTTATACTGAAGTTACGCTTTTTATTTTGAAAATAGTACGGTTTGATACTCGGATTTTCAATTATACGTGCAATATATATGCAGCTCTAAATATATTTCTCATTAAATATATAAAATTGATGTTTGAATTGAATGACTTATTTCATATAAAGAGATAAAATTTTAACGTTACTAAAAAAAATATAATCGCGCAATATAAATGCGAAATATTTGTTAAACCAAAATCTAAATAATTCTAATATTTGCAATTTATTCAAAAATAGAGAATTATTATTACGAGAGAAGGCACTCCTTCATTAACATTAATATTAGAGTTGGTGGTCTATCGTTGAGTTTATTAGGGGAGCATCAGACATGCAAAGTCAGAAATTACCTGCTCGCCTAAGGCTGAGCCGGGAACAATTATATCGCACTGCTGTAATCTTCATTTGCATATGTTTGCGAGGTGAGTTGTGCCACTAGCATAGTAATTATTACATCATCGAATTCAAAATCGTGATTTTAATTAAATAATAAAGTATAGCCCATCTCATAAACAACGTTTCTTTTATCACACAATCATATTTCTTTAATGTAACGTATCTAATACTTGAGATTATTTTAATTTGTCAAAAATTTAAACCGCTTACCTTTTGATAGTTGAGGGCGAGCAACAGATACTTCTTATCGGCGGATAATTGATGATCAAAGCTCGACAACAGAGCCTGTAAAATAAAAAGTAACAAATTATTAATTACAAACATCGTTACACGTGTTACAATATAATAATGTATAGCTCGGCTTAAGGGGACTAAGCAATCGTATTTGTCGAAAATGAAGTCTTTTTGGAGGAATTTATTACAAAAAATGAATTAAAATCGAAAATTGTCCTTTAACAAAATGTTTAATAGAAAAAAAATGTTAACTAGAAAAAAAATCAAACAGACGATTAAAATGGCAATTTTTTTAAAAAGGTTCATCAAAAAACAGATCTGTTTGATTTTTTTCACAAAAACTAAAGTTTGCACAGACTTTTTAGAAGTTCAGTCCAAAATTATACATATTGTGAATATGCTCAATTTTTTTCAAGTCGATTTAAGCTTCTGTATTTGAGTTATCACTTCAAAACTTATTTAAAAATCCTTTTCGATCATCTGCAGCGCCATTTCTAATGCATATTTTCAAATAAAAAAAAAATTGTTTGTGATTTATGATCCTAATAAACATTTTGTTAAAGAACAATTCACGATTTTAATTTATTTTTTTCCAATAAATTCCCCCAAAAAGACTTCATTTTCGACAAATATGATTGCCTAATAAATTTTCATATCCTCAGTAAATATATCTTTCGAACAAACAAAACATTAAAAGTACAATAGACGCAGGAATAATAGAAATTGTAGGAATAATATGTATTAAATAGCTCTACAGATATAACGAATTCATTATACATAATTGCTTTGTTGATTTGGCATTGTCTGGAAGCACACGAAACGATTATCCTGCAAATTACATAATATGTATTTAATGCTTAATTAATTTACCGCGTAAATTAATGCTATCCCATGTATAAAGGATTAAAATGCAAACATGATCGCTATTCGCTAATTGCTACGACACCAAGAGTTAGTTGCTATCTATACAGACCGATGTCGCGTACAAAGCACTCTAAATATTCACCTGGACAGAAGCCGGAAAATCTCCTACTCGCATGTTGAGCCGCGATAATTAACGTCAAACGCCACCAAATCAATGCGCGAATCACACAAATAAAACTATCACTTATTACGCTTATAAAGCGGAGTCGTTAGGGGGATGAGCGTAATGCGGGATTTACCGCATCAAAAGAGACATTATGCCGCGACGACCTGAAACGGTTTGTCGAATTCACGACGAGTAAATTACAATCATGCGCGCGACACGGGCTGCCCGTTTGTTGAATGAACTACGACGGGCGGACTCTCCTCTAATAGAATGACTATCATTAAGCGGAGGTCGCGAGATCCCAACACAAGACTGTCGTTCCCCGGACAGTTGGTCGGTCGGTGGTGGACAAGCGGACCGACCGACTGGATGATAGTACCAGTTTAACCGTACCATCGCGATCATAATACGGTAATAACTGTGGCAGACTCGACGAATGCCATTATTACTTTAATAGGACAAATTTATTCGCGTGATAAACGCGGTTAACGAGTCATGTTCCTGATGCTAATCCACGCTTCGATTCCCGCTGTCGAGTTGCGGTAGCGAGTACTATTTTCTGTTGACCTGGGAGCGCAAGAGTGAATTTATATGCAAATTAATGAAATTTAAGTTTCAGATCTTCAAAAAAAACGCCGTGAAATAACTTTGTTTGAAAAAAAGCTTCTGCTGATTTTCCAAAGTTGTATATTTTACGTTGAATAGGAAAAAGAGACTTTTTTTAAAATATAGTACATATATCTTTAAGCACGCAAATGTCAATATTTCACAAAATATTGATCGCGATATATTAATAAATAAAAAAAAAAAGGAATTGTTTTTTAAATGTATTTTTACTTATAAGAATGTATTTTTAAACCAAATTTTTCACGATAAAATTTTCGTAGTGGATTGCGTTGAAATGTAGCAGTAAAAGAAATGTTATTGTAAAGAAGAACTTTTTAAATCCATATTTATTACCATGGTTATATGCGCATGTTTCTCCGGCTCAATAAATTTCCCAGCAGGAAAAGAAAAGAGAATATCAGATACGATATTGGCATGAAAACAAAGCGACACTGACAGTTTTATTATGTTATATGGTAAAGTTATAATTCTATTAGCAACTTTCCGAACTCATTTTAAAGTGTTCTGCTGGGACAGCTTGACACGTACTAATAAACTTGTTACACCTCAACATGCAAAATTTTTACACGGAATAAAACAGAAATAAAATGCAAATTTAAACTGTCGCGTAGTTTAAAATCTATTTTTTTCGCACTGAGAAAAATATGTATACACGCGGATAAAATTTTACTCTTGTAATATCTTGGATAATCACATTGTGAAAAGATACATTTTAAAAAGAAATAAACATATGTTCACATAAATTCGTTCTCCGCTTTGATGTATAGAAAACACATTTCTAACGTTTATCTAACGGTTTCAATAACATCCGATATATCGTTAATAACGTAGAAAACGTGAATTCTCGAGGGCAGTCTTGGAAAGAGTATATTTGAACGATTGTATTCGACGAGCCTATTCGCTCTCGGTGCAACTGCATTTCAAGCGAATACTGTATATGTACGCGAGCAAAGCTGCACGGGTCATAAACTCCTTAATAGCTTTCAGACTAATAGCGAGAATGCCCCTGATAAGGCCGTCCGTCTAAACTGCAAGAAGGAGTCGGGCTGCGTGCTTGAAGCACTTCTGAAGATTTCGAGCAATGTAGCGAACAGAAGACTTCATTGAGAGAAAGAGTGAGATAGAGAGGCGATGAAAAAATAAAGTTTCAGAGCGTCACGCCGATCAAGCCTTTGCAGTTTCACTTTAGTGCCTTTCTCTCGATCTATACTTAATTGAAAGAACCAGTTTGCTTCGCTTACTGATTACGGAGCGTGACGAGAGGAAAAAGATTTTAACCTGAGAAGAAGAGATCGCCTTTACATTTCGTCGTTTGTGAAATTTGGAAGACAAATGTACGGAATCGCATACGAGCTTTAATGTATCATTATTATTTTATTATGAAAATACAAAGCATAACAAAAACTAATATAATTATGTAACAATTTTTTTATTGATACATATGTATAGTAAATCCCCGTGAGATACTTGCATAACGCAAATTCGTAGAATACGATAAAAAAATTGCGACAACCTCATATATATCCCCATATAATTTGGTAAATAAATTTCGAATTTAATAAAAACATTTTTAAAACGTATTTCTTTGATAAACCATGTATTTTCGAATTTTGTACAATTCATAAACATTGCATAACACCGAATCAGAGTATCGCATGAGTATCGTATAACGCGAATCGTATTTACCGCATGTTATAAATGTTTACCATTTATCTGTGTATGTGTATGCAGAACTATACAGGGTGTCTCCAATTTAAATGTCAAAACTTTAGGAGCGTGTAGGGGACCGATAAACTAAGACAAAAAGTCCTTTAGAGATTTGCTCGTTTTTGAAGAAAATCGCAAAAAATGAAACAAATAATTTTCACCAGAAAACTTATAATTACACGTTCCTAAAGTTTTGACATTTAAATTGGGGATACCCTGTATATACACATATATATTGTCGTAAATCGCGAATCATTAAAAAAATTTGACAGCCCATGGTAACGAAAATGGTTAATGAAGATGTTTACGGGGGAGAATGAACCCGAAACAAAAATATGTAGTTGTAATATATCAAAAAAGTACGTGTGTGTGTGTGTGTGTGTGACAAATAATTTCACTTTACGATACGTATAAATTCCACGAATAAATCATTCGAAGCTTGCGTCCCGAAGATACCTCGTAATGTTAAATCTCGAGGAGATGGGTATCGTCCTACACACAGATGTCGTAATGAATCATTTTACAAGCTGGTACCTACCTACCTACGTATGAACGTGTATGTGAACGAGGATCGTCGACGATAGATTGCGCGTGTCGGAACGTGAAAGATAACGAGCAATTACCGTCACCGGCCGCGATCTCTTCGGCGGGAATAACGATGGGCGTCGCCGATGCATGCATGCAGGCAGGCAGGCCTGTATGCATTACATTCCCCTCGTCCGCATCGAGAAATAATTTCGACATTCCCCCTTTCCGATTTCGCTGCTTTCGCATTCGATCCGCGGCTTCCGCTTTCATATACGCGTATAATGGAAAGAGCCGGGGCGGTTTTAATTGATCATGCGCGGATATGAATTAGAGCGAGAAAGAAAATCAAGAGAAAGAGAGAGACAATATGGAGCGGGGGACACGTATGAGAGAGATGCTATGTTTTCGTTGGTATATTTTGGTCGTTATCTGCGATTTCGGAAATGGAACGCGTCCTTGCGACGGCGGGTTCGAACGATTAATTCGGTGACTACCGGCTATTCGTTCCGCGCGGTTTCTATTTAATCGCACGCATGTTAATGCAGCAATAATTGTTGCGCATACATTAGCGCGTACACGAAATGCAACGTATATTAATTGCTCTAATAACACAGTAACATAATATGTATATTATTAATATAAAAAACATATAATTGATATACATATCGTTAATAAATGCATATTGTTTTATTTGTTTAATTGTTATCTAATTATTATCAATTTTGCTTTTACACTTCAGTGTAAATTTAACATATAAGTCTGATTTAATTATTATTTCGCATATGACTCATGATAAAATATACATATGATATTATATGATATTATATTATATACATATTTATGATGTTATTAGTAAAAGTATAATAAGGTAAATAAAATGATAATTCTAACAGTAAGTTTCGTTACGAGCTGAAAATTCCTCGGTACGAAAGCTTCTGAATATCATGGAAACTTAGGAGAACTTTTATATACACTTATACATATAACATGCAGAAATCTGAGAAAACTTACAGGATTGTTGGAATCCAACAGGATCTTGGATGTGGCCGAGCTGACGTTGTAGATCAGCAAATTACCTATCTCGTCCCGGTAGAGGATCTCGTCTCCTGCAACAAAGGAGTACGCGTATGCGGGAATTAAATTTTAAATTAATACATTCGCACGGCGAAAGATGTGATATCCTTATCGTACGTTTCGCTGTTTCACATATCGTAATTCGTAGTTTCACGTTTATACATCCGCGTACGTTTAAAGTTTCTTTTATTCGCACAAAATCTCATTTTCTTCGCACACGTACATTAGAAGTTTTACCGTGCGATTTTGCATTCCGATACATTAGAAAAACCATCAATTTTATTTCAGACTTTGATATACAAAATTTGTCTGCTTCATGAAAATAAATGATATATTATTATAAACATTTTTCTTTCTTCGCATACCTGACCAAAAATCCCTTAAAGATCACAATTAAAAATTTCTTTTTTATCTTTAATCGCGATATCCGGAAAGCGGTAGTTACACACACTCGCTCTTTTCTCTATTAAAGACTATTAAAAAAAATGGAACTTCTCCGGTAATGATGGTTGATTCATTGTCTCCACATCGTTCGGTCGCTTTTGTGCGAAGAAAGCCGAGCATGTAGTTGCCTTCAAGCGGGATGGAAGTAGAAGGAAGATAGAAGGAAAAAGAAAGAGTGAGAGAAAAAAGATACGAGTAAATTTCAAGATAGGCCGTCTTTCTCAAAAATCGGTTTTCGCGAACCGACAGCTCATCGTTTCATCAATCTTAGCGAGATCGACGCCGTAAAAATCCTCGGGATAACAAGCGTTGAGTTAGGTGGCGATGGACCGTGAGTAAGAAATATTTTTATCGTTATCGAAGCGAATAAAGCAGGGGAGAGAGAAACGAACGGCTGCGCGAACTCCCGCAGCGCGAACACACGCCGGAAAAACGTTCGTTCGACAGATTTCTTTTTATTGGCAACGTGAAACGCGGAAATGGATGGTAAATGTATGATGGTGAAAATAGAGGGAGAATAATATCTTGTGCGAAAAATTTCTTTTAATTGTCTTTGAGCGTTCGCGATCAATAAAGTAGCAAATCATACAGGTATTCTAATGACGCTTATTTGGTAATACTTAAGGAGTATGTCTATTTAAATTAAAGACACCTTCTCAGATAAAAATGCAGGCAAACCAGAGAATATTAAAATACACAATCTCTATAATCTAACTAATCTTTCATATTTATACATCTAATAGAATTTATTAAAAAATGATGATAAAGAATATCTCGTTATAAATATACGATCGATTAAAGTACAATCAATAATAAATAAATAGTTAATAATATACATTAATTTTTTTTTTCTTTTCCCCTTTACTTGCAATCTTGCTTTCGTTTAAAAATTACAAATATATCCGCTATTTTCCATAATTATTTTCTTTGCCCATAAAAATATAATCAGTATAATTAAATTAAACTCAAAATGTATACAGATATTTTCTATAATTTTTATAATTATTCTATGCTCTTTCTTAAAGTGCACGTAAAAAATGCAATCGTACGTGAAAAACAGAGGATTTCTCGAAATATCAAACAGACTCACCCCTTTAATGCGAGAGGTCTGCGTGTTTGCGGTATAAACCTCGTTCCGCACGGTTGCCGGTTGTTCGCCCGACCGACAAACAAGGGGTGGCATTGTATTGTAAAACGAATCGCACCGTCCGACGCGACACGGTGAGCTATTTCAACGTACGGATCGTTAGATCGGAGGAGATCCGCTTTTTCGACGGTAGAAATTTTCCGCCGCGAACTTTGATTCTCCGAAAAGGCTGATTTGCGTTTTGCAAATCACTGACCTTGCTTCGTTTCGATAGAATTTCCATTCCCTTACGACAAATGGAACGAAGGAAAAGATTGCACAACGAATCGACGTTATTTTTTTTTTGTCTTTAAGTCCGAAACCACCAGAGCGCGATTCAATCCTTGGAAAACTTTAAATGAAAAACTTTTTTCTTCTTTCTCGCATAATTTACTCATTTTAATGTCTTATTTAATCCAGTTTCGTACAAAAACGATGAAGGATTGATTTAAATCGCTTCGGAGCAAGCACATGTTCGACAATATGACGCCATAAAAGTTAAAATACGATATCATGTATTAGAGAAAGATTAATTAACAAAGTTTCCCAAAATACACAATCTCTATAATCTAACTAATCTTTCATATTTATACATCTAATAGAATTTATTAAAAAATGATGATAAAGAATATCTCGTTATAAATATACGATCGATTAAAGTACAATCAATAATAAATAAATAGTTAATAATATACATTAATTTTTTTTTTCTTTTCCCCTTTACTTGCAATCTTGCTTTCGTTTAAAAATTACAAATATATCCGCTATTTTCCATAATTATTTTCTTTGCCCATAAAAATATAATCAGTATAATTAAATTAAACTCAAAATGTATACAGATATTTTCTATAATTTTTATAATTATTCTATGCTCTTTCTTAAAGTGCACGTAAAAAATGCAATCGTACGTGAAAAACAGAGGATTTCTCGAAATATCAAACAGACTCACCCCTTTAATGCGAGAGGTCTGCGTGTTTGCGGTATAAACCTCGTTCCGCACGGTTGCCGGTTGTTCGCCCGACCGACAAACAAGGGGTGGCATTGTATTGTAAAACGAATCGCACCGTCCGACGCGACACGGTGAGCTATTTCAACGTACGGATCGTTAGATCGGAGGAGATCCGCTTTTTCGACGGTAGAAATTTTCCGCCGCGAACTTTGATTCTCCGAAAAGGCTGATTTGCGTTTTGCAAATCACTGACCTTGCTTCGTTTCGATAGAATTTCCATTCCCTTACGACAAATGGAACGAAGGAAAAGATTGCACAACGAATCGACGTTATTTTTTTTTTGTCTTTAAGTCCGAAACCACCAGAGCGCGATTCAATCCTTGGAAAACTTTAAATGAAAAACTTTTTTCTTCTTTCTCGCATAATTTACTCATTTTAATGTCTTATTTAATCCAGTTTCGTACAAAAACGATGAAGGATTGATTTAAATCGCTTCGGAGCAAGCACATGTTCGACAATATGACGCCATAAAAGTTAAAATACGATATCATGTATTAGAGAAAGATTAATTAACAAAGTTTCCCAAAGAGAGAGAGAGAGAGACAGAGAGAGAGAGAGAGAGAGAGAGAGAGAGAGAGAGAGAGATACGGATGCGCGTTTGAAGCTCGTTGCCTCTTTCACGTCATTAGAAGTTCCCATTACTTTCGTAATTATAATTATGAGACATATATTTTATATATTAACTTACAAGTTAATATCTAACAATCGTATTTATATATATTACCTTAAAGCATCACATTTTATCGTTAAATGTTATATTTTGTCAGTGTATGTAATGCATAACGATAAGCCAATATAGATAGCTAAATTTTCTTTTAAAATTTCGAAAAATTAAAAAATATTCTCTGAAAAAAAGAATATTTATGTAAAAACAATTATGTGACATAATTACAAGGTAAAACAAATTAATGTTACAATTTAGCAATTCCCATATCATTGACATACTTAAAAAATGATGGTTCTCTTTGTTAATTGTTCAATTATTTTGCATTAATTAATTATATAGAGAGGAAATAAAATAAATTACACACACACACACACACACACACACACATATTTTAAAGCTAAATTAAACGTCATTTTAAATTCAATCAATTAAAAATTAACGTCGCTTTAGAAATACATTAAATTATAATCTAGTAAATTGAAATATAAATAATCCTCAGTTTATACATATTGCGGAATCTTTTTAAAATATTTAAAAAATGATATAATTCTCTAACTGTAACGATTTTATGGATAGCGTTTCTTATACATACACAGAAATATGTATTCTTGATTAAAGAAATAGTAAATTTCAATAATTATTATATATATGTATAAGATCCATATATTTTTTATTAGCATTTACTTTGGCTTTAATATCAATGATTCTCTTTCGTTAATTTTAATATGTTCGAAACGATGAATTTTACACGTAATTAAACTCGACTGGTTGAGATAACTATATAGTTAAATATTTTACACGGCTATTTTTTTTTAATTTCTTGTGCACAGCATTCGATTAAATAGAACTGTTTTATTGCTCAAACAATTGAAATAATAATGGCGGATTAATAAGCGTTAAACGTGTAAATGTATTGAGAAAATTATAATGCCGTATTAAAATTATAAAATAAATTCTACTTTGTCACAATACACAGTAAATTTTCATAAATAGTTTCGCGCGAGCAAAATTATGTCGAAAATTTTCGCACATAATTACAGCAAATCGATATTTTCCATTTTATATTTTCAGTTATTGACAACATAGTAAAAGAAATTAAAAACAATATATTCAAAAATAATTATAAATGCATATCATCAGAAAAATATTTTTTAATATAGACGCTATAGAATATTATTTTTTTTATTAATATTTCGTAGGTAATAAATGTTTTAATTCAATAATAAAGATCAGCTGTCAAAGTTGTTATTCCAAATTTAAATCTAATTATTTTTGAGAAATCATAAAATATAGAAATAATAATTTTTTGGGAACTATATTCTCTTCACAAACATGATAAATTGTTTTCGCGATATTATACTTTCCGTGTTATTTGTCTCCTAAATGAGACAGCGGCGCCGAAAATGATTTACATTGAGGTGAACATTATACCGAGGGATTTGACAGATTTCTCATGGTGGATAACGCGTTAACGAGACACCATCGTATCTTACACGTGGGACACAACAAGAAGACATCCGCCGTTACGGAGCGATGTAGTTCGGATGGCTGGAACAGACTCGACGCCTTCTGGGATTTCACGGCGACGGAACAACGAACGGTGGGGGGGAAAAGAGCCGCAACGTTTACGATTTATCGCTACCGACCGCGTATATCTCGCAAGAAATAGGCCGAAACGAAAAATGCAAACGAAGCGTGAATTTTATAGGTCGGCTTCCGCAGGAAGCACTATCAGGCGAAAATATCGCGCGTCAGAGTGCTTTAAAAGCTCGAACACTTTTTTTAA